TCCAGAACTTCCCTCCCCTCTGCGCCAAGCAGGAGCAAACATGACCCTCTTGGGGAGCCTGACCGGGGCCCCCTCGAGCGAGACCGAACATTAAATACCTGTTCATGCGGTCAAGGACCACTGGTCCACACTCACGCTGACTTCGGCTGGAGCGCTCGCTCCTTCAGATAAACCCGCGCGGAGGCCAAGGCCCCCCGACTCGTGGACACGTGGGGAGCACTCTCCATTAACCCCGATACGGACTTCTTGTTACTCTCAACACCCCTCTCGCGCTAGCAAACACTGCAAAACTCTGCTACGGACCCACTGGGATTCAAATACAGTGTTTCTCAAAAGGAGAAAAAGAGAAACCAGAACTTCCGCTATCCTGCATCGCTCTTTCTTCCGAAGTCCAAAACACCGTCGAGAACAAAGGCCACGCTTCCTCTAAGACATGCACATGAACCAGAATATAAGCAGCTTCGTGAATTCGTTCAATGAATCTAAGACCATAAGCGACTGTAGTAACAGACACGACCTCGATGGTAATGGAAAGTTCCGTCCCGGTACTTCCCACTTAACGGGTCCCATGGTCGGACTTTACGCACAGTCCGATTCGGCTCTCACGATGGTGCCATCCGTAGATGGGGTCACAGCGGACCCAGGTCAACGGCAAGCAGAGCCTCTGCTCTCCCGCACGGTCAGTGATAGGGCCCGAGGCGCCGGCGCGCTGGCCCTGCTGGCTCCACAGAGGTTTCCAGTCTTTATGAATAAACCAGACTGTAGCGCACGTTACAGGTGAAAATGAAAACACGTCTGTGCCATTGCAAAAGAAAGTCAGCAAGTGAAAATGCCGTTCATTTGTATGAGTTCTTTTCGGCGTCACTGAGATGAATAATGGTCGCTGTGACGAAATGGCACCTATCTTACAAAGCAAACTTACAAAGTGCCACTTCTCAGATGCATTCGATGGCTGTTAGCAACTTTTTTAGTTTCTTAAAGTTTCATTGAAAGAGAAGAGATTTTTTTTTTAATTGCTCATGTTTCCTAAGAAACCTTTTTTTTTTTAAAAAAAATGGCACGCCAGGATGCTCTGCAGCCTCTAAGGAATAGAGTGGCCGCCTGTCGCGTGCCGGCACGGTCCAGCCTTCCTCCCTCCCTCAACAGTGAGACACAGCGTCATCGCCAGGAACCGCCACACACGTCCACTGTAAATGTGACTGGGAATTCCATCTTCTGTCTGCACAATAACTGACAAACGTCAGCGTGAACTGCTGAGGCAGTGTGACAACCGCATGCTGAGAGCAAAGTCTCACTAATGTGTTTTGGCATGCGGGTCTGTAATCACACATTTACATATGCAATGACCTACATTTGCATGTCAGATCACACACCGTCTAGGTTTATTAAGACTGGGCACCTCCCTGTGCTTGTTGGCCGGAGTGGGAGAGAGGGCCAGAGGGCGGTGTTTTTTGGCAGTGGAGGGACGAACTGCCACCAAAGATTAGGCTGATATGGCCCGACATTAGACACTTCATTAGGCGTAATCTGTTGAACAGTGGGCAGTGTATGTAAACTTCACAGCCCATTTGCGGCACCTTCCCCCCCGCTGGCCTTTCTTCAAAGGGCAGCGAGGGTGAGTGACAGCTTGTCTCATCTGCTCCCATGTCCTGTCACCCAGCGCAGACGTGGAGAGCTGACGTGAGGAGGAGCATAGCTGCACATCTCCAGCTACCCTTGGGTCCCTCTGCCACACTGCGCTTTGTATGAACGCCGGCCTCTGTGGAGCCAGTGCCCTCCACGAGACCGTCACACGGGATGGACGGCACGGGCAGCGACTCTGGGAGACGGCGCCCGTCACCTGCCACTCG